ATTTCTAGAGATATATATTTTACAATTTTAATTATTGGACTTTCTTGCTATAAATAAATAATTTAGTTATTGAATACATAAATACATGACAAGATTGAATTCGTCCCGTAGTTCATGAGAAATTTTAAAAGCAAACCTAAAAATATAAAGCAACTGATATATTTATTTAGCAAACTATCTATACACGTATAGTAATTATAGTTGCACATGTTGTGATTGATTGTCAAGCCCAAATTGAGTGTTAGAACATTACTCAAGATATGTTTTACAATTTTAATTGTTGGAGTTTATTGCTATAAACAAATAGTTCAGTTAATGAATACACAAATATAGGGACAGTATGAAGTTCATGAGAAATTTTGAAAGCACACACTAGAAATATAAAGCAAAAGATATATTTATTTAGCAAACTATCTATACACCTATAGTAATAATAGTTGCACATGTTATGATTGATTGACAGATCCGAATTGAGTGTTAGAACATCACTCAAGATATGCTTTACAAATTTAATTATTGGAGTTTCTTGCTATAAATTAATAATTCAGTTACTGATTATATAAGTACTAGGACAATATGGATTTCATTTATGAAGTTCATGAGAAATTTCGAAAGCAAACCTAACAATATTAAGCAAAAGATAATTGTATTCAGCAAACTATGTGTGTATATATATATATAGTGTGTGTGTGTGTGTGTGTGTATACATTACTTCTAAATCAATTCATTGTTATATCTTTGGATCGATGCTGCGTCTATAAATTTTGACTATGTTAACGTTTAACATATTAGTGCTCATATACTCGTATCAAAAATTTTAAGTGAATCAATAAAACTTTAGTGTTTAAATCAAGCTACCCATAAACTTGGTTGGTGTTGGTGGTTGTTTTTTAGTGACCCTTTTTTTTTTGTGAAATATAATTTTCTAGCTATTAGATACCTTGAATTAAACTATACTTGTATAAAAAAATTAAGGTGAAAGCATGTTCTATATAATTTCAACCTCATACAAGAACTACTTCTATAATTTTACATTTGAAATACCATATTTATTTTTTTTATGCTATTTATTTATTTATTTTCTATTGTTTGTTTAAAGAGGAGAGTAAATTAACTATTTTATAATGCTTTAATGAAGAAAATAAGGACATTTTGCACAATGAAGATAATCGATAGGGACATTTTGTGCAATAGAAGCAGAAAATATGGATGTTTGCGCCAATTACCCATATTTGACGGAAACAATTGACGGAATGAGATAAAAAGGACCATTTCCATAGGAAAATGGTTGAAATGGTAGGGGGTGTAAGTACCAAGTTTGAAACGATAGGGATTAGGTTTTTGCAATGAATGCAAATGTAGTTACATTTTATGCTATTTCCCTAGCTACAAGCCATGCAAAAAGACTAGCCTACTAGATAGTTTCTTATGTGATATTGAAGGAATTCCTCTATATGAAATGATTAAACAACCATCGTGCCCTCACATATGAGAAACAAGAATTCTCATATTACCAGTTTCAATTTCTAGTACGAACCAAAATGTAAGAAACATTCCTATGTATTCCCAGGCCTTCGTAGTCAATGATTAAAGTTAGGTAAAGAATAATTTGCTAACATTTATCGATAATTAAAGTTTGGTAAATCAATGATTTGGTAGTTTGGTAAATCATTGATAGTTTGATACCAAACTACCAAACTTTTAAGGATACCATTAACACTATCCAAAGGTTAAAGTTAAAACTGAAACGTTTTTCAAAAAATTATTAATTATCTCATGTACCTGTTTTGTCCAAAAGATTAAATAAATATTTTGAAGAGCTTTTACCTAAAAATCATATAGATCAGTTTCATTATTAATTAGCTTAATTTTATAAAACCCAATTTAAAAATTTTTAGACACTAATCTAACTCGACAAACAATTAAATAATTAATTTCAATGGTCTTTGATAAAAAGTCCACATAAAAAAATAAATAAATAATTATACCAATCAACTACAAATAGTAAAAATTTGATTATTAGAAAAGTAAACCAAAAAAATTCAGAGCCAATAGAACTAAAAAGGATTCACCCAACTTGACACAATCACACTCTTTCCAAAATTATGTGCATCATTAAATTCATCATGCCACGAATTTTTATTTTTATCGTGTTTTATTCTTCTTTTTGCCTTTCTAGTTGACTATATAGTGAGTTGTGCTCTAGTTGTATTATTGAAGCTAAGAAAGCAAATTCTTGGGACTTCAAGGAGTAAGTTAAGATGTATATTTCCAAACAATCAGTTGCAACATAAATTACGGTTGATTATTAGAAAAGTAAACCAAAAAAATTCAGAGCCAATAGAACTAAAAAGGATTCACCCAACTTGACACAATCACACTCTTTCCAAAATTATGTGCATCATTAAATTCATCATGCCACGAATTTTTATTTTTATCGTGTTTTATTCTTCTTTTTGCCTTTCTAGTTGACTATATAGTGAGTTGTGCTCTAGTTGTATTATTGAAGCTAAGAAAGCAACTTGGGACTTCAAGGAGTAAGTTAAGATGTATATTTCCAAACAATCAGTTGCAACATAAATTACGGCTATAGTAATAATAGTTGCACATGATACGATTGATTGACCGACCCAAATTGAGTTGTTAGAACATTAATTGAGATATATATTTTACAATTTTAATTATTCGAGTTTCTTGTTATAAATAAATAATTTAGTTATTGATACATAAATACTAACAAGTATGCTATCATGGCAAATGCTTCTAATTGGGGTGTGAAGTTAGAACAAGAAAGTTAAAAGGATATGGGTTTTATAATTCAAGTGATACTAACTGCCTTTTTTTTGTTTTTTTTTTATTTTTTTTTGTTTTTTTTTGTTTTTTTTTTTACATCAAACTCTACTCTTTCAAATTATATTGAGTCTTTTATCTTAAAATTTTTAAATGTCAGTGACTTGAGGAATTTCACTTATATTTGATTGTCCTTTAAAGTTACATTTTTATAGAGTAAATAAAAAAAAACATTGGATAATATAATTACGAGTATAGTTAATTAATTGTTCAATAAAACCATGCAATCATTCCTTGATTATTGTGGAGGGAGCTTCAATCATAGGTTAGGTTGACAAAAAAGAGTACTAGCAAAGCAGCCTAACATTCTAGGTTAGGCTCATTAAATATTTTTCCATTTGGTTAGGTTGTGAAAAGAAAGAGCGTCAAATTCTAATTCGGGTAGTTGCATGAAAAGGAGAAAGCCCAGATCCACTTCGAGCAAGAGCTCGATGTATAATCAACGTAGATCATGGAATTCTTCTGTGTAACAAAATGATTATCAATTTAAACAAAGATTAATTATTTATATACTAAATCTTCACAAGGAAGGATTCTTTGGGTTCTAGAAAAATTAATAATTAACGACATTTGTTTTTCTATCAACGAATTTAATATTCAATTGATGAAATATATTCCTTCTTATCGAAGCTCAGAAAATTATTTTAACTTATGACTTCAAGAAGCCAACTTAGTCTTTGTTTGAATTTCTTTTTCAATTGTTAAAATTCTGAATTGATATAAATGAGTGGTGTACAAGTGATTACAAGCAAAATCTTGGGACTTCAAGGAATAAGTAAAGATGTATATTTCCAAGCAATCAGTTTCATCGTATATTACAACTATAGTACTAATAGTTGCACATGCTATGATTGATTGACTGCCCAAATTGAGTCGTTAGAACACTACTTGAGATATATATTTTACCTTTTTTAATTATTGGAGTTTATTGTTATAAATAAATAATTCAGTTATTGAATACATAAATGCTAACAGGTGTGCTAAAACAATGTTAGGCTCTTGGCTAATGTTTCGAATTGAGTTGTGAAGTTAGGACAAGAAAGTTAAAACGATATGGGTTTTATAATTCAAGAGGTACTAACTGTTTTTCTGTTGGTATTTTTTTTTTTTTTTTTACATCAAACTCTACTCTCCCAAATTATATTGACTCTATTATTTTAAATATTTTTAAATTTCAGTGTCTTGAGGAATTTTACTCATATTTGATTGTGCTATAAAGTTACATATTTATAGAGTAAATAAATAAATAAATAAAATTACGAGTATAGCTAGCTAATTGTTTAATACAACCATGCAATCATTCCTTGATTATTGTGCATGGAACTTTAATCATAGGTTAGGTTGACAAAAAAGAGGACTAGCAAAGCAGCCTAACATTCTAGGTCATGCTCATTGCATATGTTCCCATTTGGTTAGGTCGTGAAAAAAATAGAGCGTTAAATCTTAATTTGGATAGATGCATGAAAAATGAGAATGCCGAGATCCACTTCGAGCAAGAAGTAGACTCGACGTAAATCATGGAATTCTGCTGTGTAACAAAATGATTATCAATTTAAACGAAGATTAATTATTTATATGTTAAATTCTTCAAAATGAAGGATTTTTTGGGTTCTAGAAAAATTTGTAATTAAAGACATTTGTTTTTCTATCGACGAATTGAATATTCAATCGATAAAATATGTCTCTTCTTATAGAGGCTCAAAAGTCTTTGTTTGAATTTCTTTATAAGTTGTTAAAATTATGAGTTGGATCAAATGAGTGGTGCATAAGTGATTACTGGTTTTGAATCGTAAGTAACATATAATTAAAATTAATATTTGACTTTCAATAGTTAGTTATAAGAGTGTTTTACGCACAAAAAAATAAAAATAAAAAAGGGTTTAATGACGGAAGTGAAGTGTCACATAAAATTCAGCGACGTAGTGAACTATTTATATTGCAATACTATTCCAGTCCTGGTGAAATATACAACTTATGTTTATTACAAAATAAGCGTGCACATTGCATGCCAAATATAACTAAAAAAAAAAAAAAGAGGAGAGTTCAAAAATCTGGGAACTTTAATTTCAATTAGACTACTACAAACAATTGGGCTGCCAACCGTTGGAAGTGAGTTATATATATATACAGCCAAACATACAAAGAGGGGGGGAAGACTATCCTATAGAGAAAAAACTGGGAAAGGAGGAATTAAATACACTAACCCACATTGAGCAGCTGCTTGGGGGGAAGAGATACACAAAGGCCGGCTACTAGGATACCTAGAAAAACGGTGGCTGGAAGTTTATATATATATGCACTCATTAGCAGCCAACTTGGGGGGGAAAAGGGAGATATACATACACAATTGAGCAGCAAAAAGGGGGCTGATTTTAGATATATAATCGGCAGAAATTGTGGAAGAATTTTTGAATTTTGCTTTTGCCCTCAACCATCATTCTTGTGCACAATCTACTTCTCGTCCACACAATTTGTATAGAATGATGCTGCAAATTCTCTTTCACGTGTTGATTTTATTGAGGATCGAAGCAGCTTTGGTTGATAGGACTTTCCTTCAAAATGCTAAAGCAAAAGGAGCTGGTAAAACATTAAATGCCACCTTATAGAAAATTAATCTTAAGTTTTTTTTATGTATTTCTATTAAAAAATGTTAACTATATATTCTTCTGATATATGTATTTGCAGTTTGTTTGGATGGGTCTCCACCAGTTTATCATCTAGATAGAGGATCCGGAATAGGAATCAACAATTGGTTGGTTCATATTGAGGTTATTACACTTGTCATGAGCTATTGAATACTTTTTTTAACTGTAGAATGCTTATATCATACTGAAATGTTAACCACCTATGTCAATTGGTAAAGAAATTGTAAAATGTGTTTGTCTTGGATATTCAGGGAGGAGGATGGTGCAACAGTGTCCCAAGTTGCCTTGTCCGTAAGAACTCAAAACAAGGTTCCTCCAAAGATATGGCTAAACAACTAAATTTCTCTGGGATTTTGAGCAGTGAATCACAGTTTAACCCCGGTATATCTTAATCTTTTAATTGGTTCGGATTTTATTTTTTACTTGGACCTTTAATCTTCTTTAATGCAGTCTTTAACTATTATTATATCATGTAAATATCCAGATTTTCATAACTGGAATAGGATTAAGATTAGATACTGTGATGGCGCATCATTCACAGGGGATGTTGAAACAGTAGATCCTGTAAGTTATCATAATGAATACATTCATAAGATTATTTTCCTCATTTCTTGCTATACAACTTTCTCGAAGTGAATATGCACATATAACTTAATGGCGTTTTGTGAAACTATGGTGGTTGGGTTTGTTGTTGTGATAATATTTTTTTGTCAAATTTGATTAGGCCACCAAACTTTACTTTAGAGGAGCAAGGATTTTTCTGGCTGTCATGGAGGAGCTGCTGGAGAAAGGAATGAAGAATGCTGAAAATGTATGATTTTTTTCTTATGGATATTCATCAACTTTTTATTGAATCAATCATTAGTAACTTGTAGTATTCTTAGCAGGCCATTCTATCTGGATGTTCAGCCGGTGGGTTGACATCAATTTTACATTGTGATAATTATAGAGCTCTCATTCCCGAGAGCGCTAAAGTAAAGTGCATTTCAGATGCTGGTTATTTTATTAATGCGTAAGCTTTCATACAAGGACTCATATCTAGACAAGATTTTATGTCTAGTAGAATTATGTTCACCTATTTTAAGTGAAGATAACATCTGTTATACTGTATTACAGGAAAACTATTTTTGGAGCATCATATATTGAGGACTTTTACAACGGCGTGGTCACGACACATGTATGATTTTTCTTCTACATACAATAATTTATATGCCTGTTGAATAGAAATTTGATCATCTTCTGATAGCATTTTCATCCCTGAATTTGGAAACAGGGAGCGACGAAGAACTTGCCGTTGTCGTGTATGTCAAAAGAGAAACCTGGATTGGTAAGAGCCATTTTCTTTACTAGATTAAGTGACTTTTGCATTGTGAGATAACTTGACTCGTGCTGATATCACTCAAATTGTTCAGTGTTTTTTTCCCCAAAACATTGTGCAACAAATCCAAACGCCGCTTTTCATTATAAATTCTGCCTACGATTCATGGCAGGTTAGTTTATATCTGATCTCACTTACATGAGCATTTTTTATTGCTATATATGATCTTATTTCATATAGCAGTCAGTAATTTGATTATATGCTCTCGATTATATTGACATCCTCAATTTTTCTAGATAAATAACACTTTGGTTCCTCCACTTTCGGATCCAAATAATACTTGGAGGAATTGTAAGACTGATATTAGGAATTGCTCCCATAGTCAGCTCCAAAAAATTCAAGGTACTATATGTTTTTTATCTAAATATTTCAACCGATGTTTTGCTTTGAATTGAGATGACATCATTACTATTTAATGCGATTTTCAGGCTTCAGGTTTGAATTCATAAATGCATTAACTGAAATGGGTGTCCCTTCATCAAGAGGATACTATATAAATTCCTGTTATACACACTGCCAAACTGAAGGGCCAACATGGTTTGGGATCCACTCTCCGATTTTAAATAAGAAGGTTAATCGTTGTTACCAATTTCACACGTATATATTTTTAATGGTGCTTCCATATTTCCCTTTGCTTGCAAAATGAATTAACAAATTAAACTTGTTTTATGCAGACAATTGCAGAAGCAGTTGGAGATTGGTTTTATGATCGAAGCCAATTTCAAGAGATTGACTGTCCTTATCCCTGTGACAAAACTTGCCCCAATTAGTTTGTCTCAACACCAATTGAATTTGTTGAGATTCACTTCACTTTATCCAATGAGTTGTGTTCAATGATTGACTTCTTAACTTCCATGTTGAAACATTTTAACAATTCAAATTAATTAATATTAGTCCAACAGGCATTAGCAAAAGATTTTCTTTTCACGTTGCAAACCAGTTATTATTAAATTATTTGTTTATTGTCTTTGCGAACTAGAACATGTTCTGAAAAACTTTCCTAATTAATACCTATCACGGGTCCTCGTCATTAATCAGATCATTATCTTTATCAATTAAATTAAAGTCCACTAGCTCCAGTCCAAAATGGCCTGTTTAATTGGAACAATTTAACTAATACCTTAATATAAAACCAAAAAACTGGAAAATATAGCGTTGTCAAATTGAGAAAAAAAAAATTAAATAAAAAATTAAAAACATATTCCGTAGTCAAATTGAAAGTGATTTGATTGGTGTATGTAACGAATAATTAGACAGTTATCTTGGCCAAGACAATTGTCTAATTTCCTGATTTCTCTCTTAGTTCCAATTAAGATTAGTCTTATAATTTGTTTTTCCATATTGCTCTTTTATTACAATAATGTTTGCTCTTGTAATTTGCTTTTCCCATAAAGGGGTATCTTGTAATGGCTATTTATTAGCAAGAGAAAAGTGAATAAAATCATAAAAAATGAATTTGTCTTCAACCTTGTGTTGATTTAGGAGTTTTATTGGTTTACTCGAATTAACCAATACAAGGAGGCATCGGACCCCTCGAAGTGTCCAACCATATCACCATTATAGGTCGTCAACGCAAGAACGATCCTTGGTCCTTATCCGTCAATCGACCTATTACTCAATCCAAATCCGAAGCACGTAACAACTTGGTATCAGAGCCAGCCATGTCCGACCCCCGTGTTGATAAATTGGAGGGCGAAATAGGCTCGTTGCAACAATCGATGGAATCACTCCAGAAAACGGTGGAATCCATGTTCGCCATGTTCTCCCATCAACGGGAGGAAGGGTCGGGCAAAGGGCGCGAGAATGGAGAAGGTTCCTCTTACATCAACTTTCGAGGATCTGCGGGTGGAGGATTCACTGCACCAAAAATAACAAAGTTAGATTTTCCACGCTATAATGGCATGGATGATCCGACCGGGTGGATTTGTCGTGTGAAGCAATTTTACGATTTTCACCAAACTGAGGAAGCGGATAAATTGCTATTGGCAGGGTATCATTTGGATGGGGATGTCCAACTATGGTACCAAAGTTTTAAGGCGAGGCGATAAGGCGTGAACTGAGAAGTCTTCAAATATGAACCCATCTTCGCTATGGACTATTGCGGTACCATAATTTTTTTGGAGATCTCACGAAGCTTAAGCAAACAGGGAGTGTTCATGATTACCAAATGGAGTTTGACCGATTATTACACCGAGCAAGATCTCTTTTCGAAGGACAACAAGTGGGATGCTTTATTAGTGGCTTGAAGGAAAGTTTGCGTGTTGATGTCCAAGCACGCAATCCAGTATCCTTATCTGCCACCATTGGGCTTGCACGCCTATACGAGTCGAGGCTTATTGACCAACGTAGAAGTGGGCTCTCGGAGTTTAGGAAGGCCCCCATGACTCCCGGGCCTTCTCCTATACCTTCGGCGTCACTCACAAGGGCATGCAACCCCGTCATAAAAAGACTAAGTCCAACGGAATTACAAGATCGGAGATCTCGTGCGCTTTGTTTCAATTGTGACGAGAAATTCTCGCGCGGGACATCGATGTAAGAAATTATTTTTCATCGAAGGCATATTCCCTTCTTCGGAGGAATCAGAGGATGAAGTAATTGTGGAGGAAGAGCTTGAAACCAATATACCTGAAATTAGCTTCCATGCTATTTCGGGAACGTCAAATCCAAGAACCATACGTTTATTTGGCAAGATTTGGGGTATCCTAATTACTATTTTGATAGACTCTGGTAGCACCCATAATTTTCTTAATTCTAAGGTGGCTTCCAAAGTGGGAATCAAGGCTACAAAACCAGGGGCATTTTCAGTACAAGTGGCAAATGGTAACAAAATGAAGAGTGAAGGGTTATGCGAATCCACGTTTTTCACCATCCAAAAATTTGATTTCCAAGTTGATGTTTTCCTTCTACCAGTGGAAGGTTGTGACGCAATTTTTGGCATCCAATGGCTTGACACACTAGGCCATGTTACTTTTGACTTTAGGGAATCATGGCTGAGATTTCTTAGGGAGGGTAGATTGGTGGAGTTACGTGGGCATAGAGGGCCTTCAAACAAAATCCTAGCTGGACAGAATTTCGGGCAGCAGTTCAAGAAGGGAAGTCGTGCTTTTTTGCTCCAATTAAACTCCCTGAATCTTGGAGAAAAGCAAGTGAATCAGCAGGGCACAATAAATCCAGAATCGCTGGCCATTTGAGTCATTATTCGGATATTTTCATGGAGACCCAAGGACTGCCACCTCAACGTATCCAAGATCACAAAATTCCATTGGAACAAGGGGCTAATCCAATTTCGGTGAGAGCGTACCTTTACCCGCATTATCAAATATATATATATATATATATATATATAATGAATTGCTGATCCATTGGCAGAATCTTTCTCCAGCT